GTTCTTCTTCTCTCTCTCTCTCTCTCTCTCTCTTCATTCTCTCTCTCTCTCTCTCTCTCTCTCATTCTCTTTCTCTCTATTTGTTTATTTATTTATTTATTTACTTATTCTTTTTTTTTTTTTTAAATTCACGTTTAAACGAGTCCCGTTGTCGCAACGAGGGGGACAGCGAAATCGTTCAAAATCGAAACAAAAATATAATCACACCCGCGCTAGTGAAAATGTACAGAGAGCGAGCTTTTTCTCGAGAGACAATCAATCGAGAGTTATCAATTTGTGAGTGTTTCGTTCGAGCGATAAACCAGCGCGCTCCCAATGCCACGCGAAGTAGTTTCCGATCGTGTGAGAATATTGCACAGATATTTTTCTTTTTTTTTACTTTGTACAAGAGATGAAGAGTTAACCGAAATGTTCCTTTTTTCCTTTCTATCTTGAAATAAATTCCTTCGGGCAACGGGAGGCGCGGTTGATCGCGAAAAGTACAAATAAAGTTCGTTAATTCGTCGACTAATACTACTGTATTGCTTCAATATGATATGATACAGTCTTTTCACTGATTGTCCAATATCACTACGTAATACATCCTCTTAACTTCCCCCCGCCCCACCCTCACCCTTTTTTTCTTCTTCTTCTTCTTCTTCTTCTTCTTCTTTTTCTTCTTCTTCTTCTTCTCATCTCGGTTTCTCGCTCCCTTTCATCATCCTTGTCTCGCGCATTTTGCTAATCGATACACCGCCACCGGAACGAATCAACGTTTGGAAATGGAACGGTGTGCACGTGATAATTACGAAGAAACGAAAATCCTTGATTTCTTCTCGAATCGTTAGCATCGAAGCGTGCGAATAACTGGAAAATACGTTCGAATATTTTATTTGCCAATTGAGCATGATGCTGAATTTTGTTGAAACTTTTTTTTGAATCATTTTATCGCGAATAATGAATTTTTGATCAAACGTTATGAGAAAGTTTCGAGCACAACGTAACGTTAGAGAAAGATTCGTTCCGGGATCGAGCGTATCGGCTCTTTCACTCTTACTCTTCTCACACGCACGCTTCTCTCTCTCTCTCTCTCTCTCTCTCTCTTTTCTAACTTTTCACTTTTCTTTTTTTTTTTTTACACTGCACCGAGTGTCTTCATTAGGATTAATATCACTTTTTATTTTCTTCGGCGCGATCGTATTCCACGCGTCGATATTATAATAATACGTACTTTTTTTATATCTTTAGGTTTCGAAATTGTACTTTCCAAGACGCATTTGACGATATTCGTTGCGATCGATCGCTTCCCCTCATTCGCGAAAAAATCCTCTTCCTCGTCTCCGCGAAACACGACGTTAAAACATGATTATTCTCGATTATTTTTCCGCTCAATCGTTCCCTAATCGTTTCCTCGTTTTCGTGATTGTTATTCTCATTTTTTTACGAATGCAAAAGTTATTTGAAAATTTAACACTCTCGTTCTCGATCGAGAACGAGCAGCGTTGAGAACGGAATACGGAGGATGCGGATTTTGAAAGAGACGAAAATGATAAATTTGGGAGTAAAGTTTGGCAGAAGATCGCGAAATCGAGGACGATTTCCACGGGGTTGGTTCAAGGGTGGATGATACGCTCGTAAACTTTTTTATCGCATCGATCGTGGCCGATACGTTTCGCAAATTCTATCTCACTTTACAGATGATTTGATCCAAGCTTTCCTGACGTCACGGTCCTTTCACGCCATTTTACGCGATATCCCCGCGCGATATAGCGTGCCGCATCTCCCCAATACAACACGGATCCCCACTTTTTCCATTCCGTGTTTTCTCTTTCCAATTCTCTCTCTCTCTCTCTCTCTCTCTCGAAAAATAGATTTCTAGAAATTTTAATAAGGATCGAATCGAAGCAAGCGCGATCTTCTCGAAAAAGGAATCGGACGATGAAGGAAGAGGGAAGAGTTCGAGAAACGGGGAAACGATCGGCATATCGTCGGTTTATACCGGTTTCGCCGGCAGATGACGCGTCGCAATGATCGCTAGATACGGAATATAGAATATTAAGCCTGTGACAGTCTTTGACTTCTGGTTGGGCCACAGCGTCGAGCCAGGATCGATTAGCGGGATCTCCGATCGAGAAATGTCTTCCTCCGTTTTCCACAGCGCGACGGAATTCTCGATCCCCTCCGCCACCGTTTTCCTTCTCCCATTTACGGCCACCCCTGGAACTCGGTCAGGGGTTCTGGCTTAGGCTCGAGGCTGGGCAACTGGTACGGTCAGTTTTGCTGTCACAAGCCACCCTCGGGTCAATGTTGGGCAGCGAATTTCATGCGCTTCTGCTTCTGCCGCTGGTTACAGAACCACACTCTGACCACGTTCTTCTTCAGGTCGAGCTTCTCGGCGATCGCGGCGATCTTCTCGCCGGACGGCCGCGGCTGGACGGCGAAATACGCCTCGAGCGACCGTTTCTCGGGGGCGGCTATGCTCGTCCTCTTCCTCTTCTTCTCGCCCGCGGGGAGTACCGAGGGCGCGTCCGGATCCCGCCTCTTGTTCTTCGCCTGCGCCTCCGCCTCCTCGAGCCACGCTTGGAGGATCGGTTTCAACGCGATCATGTTGTTGTGGGAAAGGGTGAGGGACTCGAATCGGCATATCGTCGACTGGGAGAGCGCGCCCACCCCGGGCAACTTCAAATTCGCCAACGCCTTGCCCACGTCGGCCTGCGTCACGCCCAGCTTGATGCGCCTCTGCTTAAACCTCTCCGCGAACGCCTCCAACTCTCTGGGATCGGTGTCCGCGTCCGGGTGGAGGCCGGCCGCCGCGGCCGCCGCCGCCGCCGCGGCCATCGCCGGATGATGGTGCGCCGGATGCGGCACGCTGCCTCCCCCGCCCCCGAGGTTCCCGTGATGGTGGTGGTGCCCCATCATCCCGTTCATACCACCGTAAACCGAGGGGCCGTGGATACCCGTGTGATGGCCCGGCCCGCCGCCCGTGTTCTCCGACATGGGCGTCAACGTGGTCATCGAGTTGGCCGGGTCCAGCATGTCCAGACTCTCCATCCCCGGATGGCTCATCTGCAACGTACAGGTTACACTTTTTTTTTTCTTTTTTTTTTCTTTTCACTTTCTCTCCCCTCGCGGCGAATTTCTTTTCTTTCCGATTCTTCATTCTTTTTCAATAACAACGCTTCGATATCGTTCGGTTCGATCGCGATATATATACGAAATAATTAATAAAATTCTCTCGGAGGAGAGAGAGAGAGAGGACAAGAACGATTGATTAATCACGAAAATTTATTACTGATAAAGATACCCGATTTTTGATGTTCGAAAAGAGGATCGAGATGTTCGAGCGGAAATCTCCAACTGTAACCGTGGTCGCGCCAATTAACGTTGTCAAAAGGGAGGAATGAATGGGAGGAATGACGAAGAGGGAACAAGTGTACAAACTAGCACGCACAATTATGCAGCACGTGCCGTGGTGCAGCGAGTGTGCGCGACCCCTTACAAATTATTTATGAGCTCCCTTCATATTTTTCCTCCTAAGAGAGTGGCGCAACGCGCTCAGGTGCTCCCGCTCCTCTCTCTCTCTCTCTCTCTCTCCTCCTCCTCCTCCTCCTCCTACTAACTAAA